AACAGATTGTGATAAATATAAAGAATTGAATACTACTTAGCAGTCAAAAGGAAGTACTAACTGTCAGGACATGGATAATCTCAAACATGAAAGCTGTTAATGTAGTTCAGTGGTAGAGCATTTGCCTAGAATGCAGAAGGCCCTGGGTTCAAGTCCCACTGTGGCAAAAATATTAAAGAACTGGACATAAGGAAGTACTTACAGGAGGCTAGAGAGACAGCTCACTTGCTGTTCTTGTAGAGAACCTGGGTTCAGTTCCTAGGTTTGGTTCCCAGAACCCTCATGGTTGCTCATAACTGTAACTCCACTTCCAAGGGATCTGACCCCCTCTTCTGGCCTCCTTAGTTGGGTACCAGGCAAGCATGTGATGTATATACATACATGTAAGTAAAATACTCATACAAATAAAAAATTTAAACAAATCTTAGGATAAAAAAAAAAGATGCAGCACTCTGGAGGCAGGGGCAGGTGGGTCTCTGTGAGTTCAAGGCTAGCCTGGTCTACATAGCAAGTACCAGACCAGCTGGGGCTGCAGGGAGACCCTGTCTCAAAAAGACCAAAAGAAAAAAAAATAGGGCCAGTAAGATGGCTCAGCAAGTTTAGGTCCTTACCAAGCCTGATGGCCTCGGGTCTATCCCTGGCACCCCACATGGTAGAATGAGAGAACCAACTCCTAAAAATTGTCCTATGACCTTTACAGGAGCACTGTGGTATATACTAATGAATATACACACAATAAATAAACAAAAGAATTTTTAATTAAAAAATTAACAAAACATACTCAAATGACTATAAACTTATTATACACAGCTATTTAGCTAACTTAGTCATCAAAGAATGCAAATTAAAAGAACACATCACACTACACACAGCCAAGAATAATTAAAGTAATAAGGATTACTAATTCCAAGTTGGTGAGCTTGTGGAATAATTAAAACTTTCCTGCCTTTCTGACAAGAGTATAATGTAAACCAGCTCAATTATTTTGGGAAACAGATTTGGCATTATCTGCTTAAGTTGGTTTTTAATGTGAACCTATAAATGAAACTGAGTTTGTGGCAGATGCTTCCAGTGTCACATTCCCTGAGTCCGCTGGATAACCTCAAGTCCACTTCACATCTTCCTTTCTCTCTCTCAGGGACATCTGTGCTATCAGAGAGCTGTGAGACAGACCTGCATAAAAGCCATCAGGTCTAGGGGCATCAGCAGCTTGGGGACCTGTCTTCAGGCAATATGGGCTGGGAGTGGTAGATAAAGCTCCTCTTTCAGGTGGTCATTTCCTCCTGGTACTCTGCATGTTGTCCAAGGTTTCCACAGAAGTGAGGCCCTCAGCAACACATGCCTCACTGGCTTTCCCTTTTTCCCTGTACCATGCCTGCCTTCTGAGATCATCTCCTTAGTCAACAACACACTTCCAAGTATTTATCTTGGGCTCTGCTTTTTGAGAAACCCAGACTTAGATAATTGGTACAAAATAATGACTCTAGATCTGCGGATGGAATTCTGAAACTCAATCGGTCACTGATCCGATGGCCATAACCCTCTGGCATACTGTATCATCATAAGGGCTAAGGCACTTTGCCTGTTGGCAGATTGGAAGTATAAACGGAAGGAAAACATTAAATCACGTCACAGCCCTAGCACAGGGAGTCTCAAACTTTTATTCATTATTGTCCTGAGAAAAAAATTAAAGCCTTCCTAGCCAGAGAAATTAAATACTAATTAATAGAATTTTTACCAAACAGTACTGAGCTCCAGAGGCCACACATCATTATAAGATCTAAAATTTCTTTGCCTACCTATGCACCAATTTCCATTCCCTTGGGAGAAATCTCAGTTCTGACGAACAAGTATGCTTCAGTGGTATGGGGACAGTGTTAGTTACAATCTTATGTAGTTAGTTAGGCTTTGTTAGCTATTTATTTTATTTTTATTAGTACATGTGTCTGTGTGAGTATGTCACAGGCACAGGTACTCGAAGAGGCCAGAAGAGGACATTGGATTGCCTGGTGTTGCAGCAGTTGTGAGCCACCTGATGTCAGTGCTGACAACTGAACTCTTGTCCTCTGGAAGAACAGCAGTGCTCTTAACTGCTGAGCCAGTTCTCCAATCCTATTTGTTAGCTATCTTACGGGCCTTGAAGAAAGGGAATTCTAGGTTCAGGACACTCATCTATTAATCCAGGACATGGTGTGAAATCCAGAAAATTTCCTCCAAAGACTGAAACACAACAGCAAAATCCCTCCCTTTGGCAGCTGGTGAGCAACTATGCTGAAAGTGATGCTCTGAATAAAAATCTGGGCATGAACTGTAATCCCAACACTCAGGAGGCCGAGGCAGGAGGATCTTGAGTTTGAAGCTAGCTCTGGGTTACACAGCAAGACCCTGTCTCAAAAACAAAGAAACACAATGTGCTAGGGTAATAGAGATGTCTTACCATTCTCTTACACTAAAGTAGGGTGTCAGGGACCCCATAGCAAGTGGGATTCTGAGAACTGGATGGATGCAACCTTCAGCAGGTCTGCCCTCCCATGTACTAACATAGAGCAGCCCTACTCTTGATTGGAGACTAATTTCCTACAGCTGTGAAGCAAATGATCACACATGTAGTGGATCCAAGCAATACACATTTGCTGCTTCACAATGCCATAATTCAGAAGTTCCAAATGGATGTGAGTAGGCTGAAACCCAGGTGTCAGGAGGGCTGTGTTTCTTTCTGGAAGCTCCAAAGAAGACTTGCTTTCTTGCCTTTTCCATCTGAAATCCACTCCTAAGAGTAGAGCAGTTCTCATCTCAAAAGACTTTATTTAATCACATCTACAAAGTGCTTTTTGTCATGGAGGGAACTGTACTTAGAGTTCCCATTGATCAAAATGTTGACATTTTGGAAGAGCCATTGTTTGCAGGTCTTAGAGAGAGCGCAAAGACAGACTAGATTAGAACAAATTCACTGCACTGTATTCCTGGGTTAAATTATCCTCTGTGCCTACACTTTAGTTTCCTCATCAAATGGAAGGAGGAACAGCAAGCAGTATCTACCTCAAAGTGTTGTTAGAGATTTATTTAGTGAGACAAGTGTTTGCGAAGTTCTTGGAACTATATCTAGCACACAGTAAGCATTTATTAAATACATTTCAATAGAGTGATTGAGTCTATGTATCAAGCACTTGTTCCAGATATGGGAGGTACAGATAGGAATATGACTTGTGCTCAGAAACTGATGGACTCAGATATACAACTGAGGTTGTTATATAACACACTACTTGGGATAAAAGGGCCAGGTGGGATGGTGCATTCTGTAATCTCAGCACTCGGGAGGCTGAGGCAAGAGGATTGTCACAACTTTCAATGTGGTCTAAATAGCAAGTTCTAGGCCAACCAGGCAAGGAACCCTCTCTTAAATATAAAAAGAAAGAAGGAAGAAAGAAAGGGAAGAAATACGTGGAAGTGCTGTAGAATTACAGCATTAATAAGGCTCAGGAAAATTAGAAACATTAGTCAGAGTCCTAAATGAATCTGATATTGGAGTTCCTCTTTGTAGAAAGAATAGGTGTTAGTCAGATATAGAGGGAATGCTCATGGACAGAAAGAAGTATGTCCAAGAGTGTTAGGTAGTTTTCCAGTGTGACTGGAGCAATGGTGTACAGTGTGAGATGAAACCAGTAAGGCTGGTGTAAGCAGCCAGCCTGTGAAGTGCCACGTTAGTTAAAGTTTAGACGTTATCCTGAAAGTCATAAAAGTCTTTCAGACTGTTTAAACAAGGGAAGGATATCATCAATTTTGTAGTTTTAAAGAGATACTCTGGTGACCAGAGACAATAGTGGATTTGATCTGGAGAGACTAAAGGTCCATCCGGTGTCAGTGGTGAGAAGAGGAAAAGAAAGACCTGGAAACTTTTTAACAGAAATTACAAGCCTAAAGTCTAACTTGAAATGGGTGTTGAGAATGGGGGAAACAGCTTAGATGGCTGCTGGATGGAGGTCCATTGGCTGAGAACAGGAAGGGAAAATGACACCAGAAGTACTGAACATTTTAAGGGCAAGGCTGCTGGGCATGGTGGTGCATGCCCTTAGTCCCAGCACTGGGGAGGCAGAGGCAGGTGGATCTCTTGAGTTCGAAGCTAACCTGGCCTACATAGCAAGTTCCAGACTAGGGTAATGCATGCTAAGTTGCAGTTGTTGTTATTATTATTGTAAAGATGGAGCTTAGAGAGGCCAAGTTAGGATACCCAGATAGCACTTACTATAGAAAAAGTTATGGTTTAGGACTTTTAAAGCCTTAACATACGGCTGGGGTGTGAAATAAGGCTCTGGTTCTCAGCTTAGTAATATTTTTGAATGTACTCGATTTGAGGAACAGCAGGAGGTGCACGTAATGAATGCTACTCAAGAGGTAGTGGGAAATAGAATGAGCTCAGGAGAAAGGTTCGGGTCAAAAGTAGACTCTGCGGTTGGATAAGAACGGGAAAAGGAGCCTATTTTTTCCACTTCTTAAGTATAGTTCAAACTTTTCTGCTACTATTCCCACCTCCCACCTTACCCTAACTCTGCTCAGACCTCCTGCCCAAGGGAAAACAGAATGGTAGATGTCTGCCTCTGAAATCACACGCGATCGAACATTTTTCACATTCAGCTCTTGGCGGGTAATGAGCTAGGGAATGCAGAGGTGCTATGTAACCTGTAGGACCTCAAGGCCAACGGGATAGCGGTATTCCAAGCTGACTACACCACACCTTACACATCGTCGGAAAAACGTCCGAGAGAAATGCTCCGAAGACGCCTGCAGCACCAGATAGTACCAGTCCGTGGCAGAAACTCGCCCGGATGACGTCACACGACAGCAGGTAATCCTCAGCCTCTGGCGTCACGCGTTGATGACATCATCGTGGGAGTTCAGCCACTCCCTAGCCGGGTGGGTTTGATTCACGTGGGTCAGATCGGCGCTTCCGCCCCCTCCCACCTGGGGGGGCGGGCCCTGGAATCGGGGGCGGGGCGAGGGCGGGGCCGGAGGGCGCGGCGGCCTTGCGGCCGCTCCGGTACAATAGCTCCGCTGCGGCCGAAGGTGCGGGCTCCAGCGCGGACACCCCTCGCCTTCCCTACTCGTTCCCGCTAGTCTCGGTCCCAGGCTGCCCGGTCTCGCCGCGGACGCTGTCCTTGCTCCGGGCTCCCCGGCTCAGCGCCACCTCCGCGCCCGCCGCGCGCGCCCAGCCCCCTGCAGCCGGCTGGCTCCGGCCCTCCGCGTCCCGCCCTCGCCGACCTGAGGGGCTCCCGGCGGGAGGAGGGGCCCGGCGGCCACCGGTGCACACTCGCGCTCATCCCGGCTCGGCCGCCGCCACCGGCAGGAGGAGGAGGAACCGAGCGAGCGCGGAAGGTGAGACGGCCCGGGGCCGGCGTCGCGGGGCGGGCGGGCGGCCATTCATTCTCCGCGCGGCCCGGGCTAGGGCGTCAGGTGAGCAGAGGCGGGCGCCGTCCCGCGAGGCCCGCAGCTCCCTTCGGGCCAACAAAGGCCCGGGTGCCCGCGCCCGCCGGGGCTCTCGGGGCGGAGGGCGGGCGCGGGCGGGGCAGGCCAGCGGGTCCGGGTGTTGGATCCACCCTCTCCCGAACTTGGTTCTGGGACTCTGACTCCCGCCTGCGAGCTCGACGCCTAGAAAAGCAGCGCGGGGTCGTGCTGCCCGGGAAGACCCGGTCCCGGCTCGAGAGTCACTTTTAGGGTCCCTCCCCTTGAAAAAGACTGGTGGTCTTGTGCGGCCCTTCCCCCACCGGGAATACTCCGTAACTTGGGAAGTTAGACTCGGAAAAACAGGAGAATCATAGTTATTTCATGTTCATTATTCCAGCCCAAAAGACGTGATGATGACAACCGTCACTATCTTTGGATCTTTTAACGGTAAACATTATTGGGAGTGGTTTGGAAGAATGCACTGCTATTGAATAGCTTAAAAAAAAAACAACTCGTAACTAAGGTCCTTTTATGATCAACCCTCTGGATAATTATCTTAACCTTTCCAGTTCCCAGAACTGTGAAAGAAAAAGGAAAAGGTTAGACCTCAACTTACTAATAAAAATTCGAATCCATTGGTCTTACCTTTTCTTGAGAAAAACGTTTGTCTCCCATGTTTTGTGGCTCTCCCACCTCTGTCAGGAGAACACAGGAGTTCAATAGTACAGAGATGCCTCATTTGACTTAACCTTGTGGCTTCCCCCTCCTTGAGAAACCTTAGCGGAGTCACTTCCAGCCTAGTTCACGGACTTTGCTTTTAAACTTCAGAAACAAGCAGATAACTAACAGTCACCTTCTTAGCATTACAAATTCCACTGAATCCTCCCCACTGTGAAGACTTTGCTGGTAGAAGGGACTTCTTACCTGAGTACTCAGAAGCCCACTGGGATTTCTGCCGTTGCACTTGTGACACTATATGTGTATTTGAAAATCCTAAATCGTGTACACATAAACACAGCTCACCTCAACTAGAAACTACGTCACAAAAAGACTTTCACAGATATGGACTCTGCTGCATTCCCTGAAGCTTATTCATATTCTTGCATTCATGAACTCCTAAGTCTGCCTGATCACTTTACTTATTCAGTCATCTGTTTATCCAACATTACTAGAGTCTGAAGTGCTACAGTGTTTCAAGCTGCCTGCTAAGGGCTTTTGGGGATTCCAAGTGTATTAAGGCATTTTCTGTCTCTGCTCACAAGACCAAGAGCTGCAAATCTAGTGGGTGAGATAGACACGTAAACAGTGAGGGCCCTCTGGGGGACTCCAGTTGTACAGAGCAGTTGAGGTTGCTGGACCTGTCTTACAAGTCCTGTCCATAGGGAAAGTGGCCCCTCACCTGTAAGAGGGCGCATGATAAAAAGTACATTCGGTTCAGTTCAATATGTATTTACTAAGCACTACCTGCTTTCAGAGCTTGTGTTAGGCTTGCAGGAATCAGTGCCTGGGAGAAGAAGGGTCTTTGTAAAACAAAACATGGTCACATCAGTGCTTCCTATGACTCTGACTATTCTTCACTGTTGAAAGAGGAATGTCAGACTTAGCATGAAATAAGAAACTCCTGGAGACCAGTCTACAGTGCCTGTTTTTGCAGCCTTACTTCCCATGCCATGCGGCCCCTAACCCCTTCTCTGGTTTGCTGCTTTATCAACCTGGAATACCTACCTTCTACCCCCTACATACCTACCTGTAGAGAAGTCCTTCCTTGTTGGGTCTCTGAGAAACAGTCTCTCTTCTCTCCTTTTCTCCCATGATCTAAGTTGCTCTTCCAGCTCTGGCTCAGGTATATAGAATTCTTACAGTCCTCTTCTAGCATGCTGTTGAAGTTAATTTTGAGTTTGCACCTTTTTGCTTTAGCCTGTGCATTTTTGTGGCACTAGTGATTGAACCTAAGGCCTTTTGCATGATAGGCAAGTGCTCTGATGTTGACCTATATTCCCAGCTCCCCCTACAGCTCTGTATATTTTTAATTTTTGAGAAGGCTCTCATTAAGTTACCTAGGTTGGCCTTGGATTCTTTTGTAGCTCAGGCAGTGAACTTGTAATCCTTCTTCCTCAGCTTCCTGGGTACCTGGGAGACCACCAGGTCCAGCTGATCGTGAATTTTTCTTTCTTTTTTTTTTTTTTTTTTTTCTGTTGGGGGGGGAACCAGGGGCCTCCCTTTTTTCTTTTTAATTTATTTTTCCATTTTTG